CAGGAATTTGGAACAGAAACCAGCAAAGAATGCTGCTCACTGGCTTGTTCTTTGGCTTGCTCACTAGTTTGCTCGCTTACATAGCCTAGAACCACCTGCCTAGGGATAGTACTGCCCACAGTGGGTTGATGTTTCCTTCATCAATTAATTATCAAGACAGTCCCCTACAGACATGCTCGTAGGCCAGTCTGCTCTGGGCAATTCCTGACTCAAGGCAGTCCTCAACGATGGCTGTGTCAACTCGTCTCTAGGCTGTGGCAAGCAGACAATTAAAGCTACCTAGGGGAATGGCCTCTGCTTTAATATCCTTTTGGTCATGGAAGTAGCTACAGTCTGAATAGCTACCAATACAAGAACTGCAATTAGCAATTTCCATGGTTTATCTGTTACTCCTAGAATGAACTTTCCAGGCAAGTGTTACCATCACTAGTACCATCACTACATCATTTAAAGCCAGAATTCCAATTCCCTCTATCCCAGACTTCTATCCTAGAAGCACCAGAATTGAGTTCCAGTTGTGACTGGTTCCAGGCACCTTTTTGTTTGTTTGTTTTGTTTTTCGAGAAAGGGTTTGTGTGTGTGTGTGTGTGTGTGTGTGTGTGTGTGTGTGTGTGTGTGTGTAGTCTTAGCCAACAACTCACTAGAACTCACTCCATAGACCAGTCTGGCTTTGAATCCACAGAGATCCACCTGCCTCTGCCTCCTGAGTGCTGGAAATTAAAGGCATGTGCAGCCACCATCTGGCTCACTAGGCCACCACCCTTTGCCTCCTCTTTCAGGGTCAACAGACACAAGAGCTGAGAACCTAATGCTAAGAGAAGTCCAGGCCAGCAGCCTGCAAGGAGAAAGCATGGCTGAGCAGGGCTGGAACTGCAGGGAACCAAAGCAGCTGGTTCCGGCTATAAACAGTAGAGGTGACAGCAGCTGAGCCAAGTGGCAGTCCCCCCTGCTATGTTTCTGGTGCCATCACCCTGGGGCAGATGTGTGTAGGCCTCCTCCAAAAAGCCAGCTTTCCTTTTGGTCCGTGAAAAAGAAACGCTCCTGTCAACAATTCCATAAGAAACACAGCAGGCTTTGGTTTCCGAGCTAATAAATCTGGTCTGAACAAGTCTTGTGACTGTAAGAGATGAGCAAGGATACTTGGGTTTGTTCCCCATGGACAAAGAAAGCACAGCTACCTGCCAAGTGTTACAAGCTCCCTGCTGGGAAGAGTCATGCTTGGGTCTGCTCCTAGCCAGAACCCTGCCATCTTGTACACAAACTCCCCCCTGCTTCTTTCAAGCCCTCCAAGAGCCTGCCTCTGCTCATTTTCCCTTTTCCTCACTGAAGTAATTCTAGACAAGTGTGCATGGAGGGTGCATGGCGGAGAGGTCATCTGGAGGCGGAGGAGGGGTGCTCGCCACCCCTGCTGGTGCTCCATCTATTTCTTAAAAGGCACTGGATATTTCAAAGGCCAAGGGGGCACCCATGGCTGGCAATCTGCAGAAAAGCAGCAATTATGGAGCACTTGGGGAGGACCCCTTCACCTTTAAAAACTGCCGGCCTGGATTAGTCTCCCACAGTGTGGGGACTCCTGGGGACATATTTACTGGTTCTCAGTCAGGGATAAAGGAGCTGGCCTCCCAGCTTGGGTCTGCACCATCCAAGGCTAGAAAAGGACATGGCTTTGCAAAGCTAATGACCACTTTCCAGTGCAGGGTGCCTGCCACTAAGGGGTTTTTAAACTGGTGGTTTGGCTTAGATCTTGGAGGAAAGTTTGCAGGCTGTAGCTTCAACAGCATCTGGGCAGAACTCTGTCGCAGCCAACAGTGTGTTGGGAGGTGGGTATCATCTGAACCCGCTACTTCCATTGGTGGGTAGGATGAAGGCATCACTGTCTACCTTGAAGATGGAACATGAACAGTTCCCCTGAGGGTGCTTCATCGAGACTAGGTAGTTCATCAGTGCTTATGACATCACTATCATCATCACGCCCCTGCTGAGAATAAGCGTAACCAGTTCCTATTCTTGGCCAGACAGACAGCAAACTCAAGGTCAGGTGGCAAAGAGGAAACATTCATGGAGTGCATAAACTCTAAGATTCTCCTTCAGACCCACCTTCAGCTAAAGAGCTGTACAGCTCCCTCCTCACTGCCAGCACCCTCTTCTAAACTTGCCTGGAGCTGGTGTGTGGACCACAACCATGGGATATAGATAGATCACAATGATGTTCCCCTGCCCTGCTACTAGAAAGGGAACAGAACTGATCTGATTGGCTTCATTTTATAAACAATGCCGAGGAAGCAACAGAGGGACAACACGGAGGCCAACAGTGTGAGGTCTGAAGTATTATCAGGCACGCAGGGCGGGTAGGAGCATCCCTGGGAATGCCTAGACCTTAACAGGTGGCAGGTGCTGGGAGCTATTATTATAGAATCTGGGAGTCTGGGAGCTCAATTGTGGATGAAGAGCTTAAATGAAAACAAAGCTGCCTTCTCATTTCTGGCTGTACAGAAAGGGCACTGACGGAGAAGGCTCCAGGCCTTTGGTTAGTGCTCTGCTTACTAAACTTAATTGAACCTTACAATCTATTGGTTGCAAAATACCATCGGCTCCATTTCACAGATGAGAAAGAAAGTTTCAGCAGGAATGAGTAACTTGTTTGCTCTCTGGTTAACGACAGAGCCCACACCTCAAGGCAAGGCTGATAATCCCAAGTATGGCTAGCCAAAGTCCCACCATGCCACCTTATTAGACTATTGCCACCATCACAGTGAAGACACCAGTGAGGGTACCTTTGCTCTGATCTAGTCACAGTGGCTCAAGGCTTTGCATCCATTATCTCATGCAATGTTCAATAACCCTCAGATACTAGTGTCTGGGGAGATTTCGGATACAATATATCCTTATCCACCACTTAAGCATGATATCTACCCTGGAAAAAAGGAAAATGGGGCCCAGAAGCCAGATTTAAGGGTACACACTTGTAATCCCATCACCTGGGAGGCTGAGACAGGAGACCCTCCCGGTCAAGGCCCACTTGAACTACATACTGAATTCTAAGTCAGCCTGCGTTACCAAGAGAGACCATAATCTCAAAAATAAAATGACCTGTCCTCCCAATTCCAGTTGACTCCAGATATTCAGCCATTTCTCTACATCCTTTGTCACCTACTTTTTTCACCCAAAGTCAAATGATATCAGTGTCATTTCTTAGATGGGAAAAATAAGGCCTCCAAGACGGACTGGCTGCACAGTCCCCAACAAAACAGAGTGCCCCATGAGAAGAACAATTTGAGTTTCACTGCCTTCTGCCAGCTCGCTCCCAGTTATCACATAAACACCACACCAAAGCCTGTTCATGCTCTAACATGTTAGGTGCCCCTCAGGAAAGCTCTGCCAGTGTGTTTGCAGAGCTAGAATGTAATGGGGGTAAGACTCTGAGCCTGCCCCAGTAGAATCAGAAGTCAGAAGAGTAAGGCAGAGGGAGTACCCTACAGGGACAGCCCTGTCACTCACCTGGGCTAGCAGATAAGCCCATCTTCACCATGGAGACGGCAGTTGCCATCTCTGAGCCATCTGAGTCATCACTGTGGATCAGAGCCCAGTCTTCCAAAAATTCACTGACTAGTAAGGGGAAGAGGTTTCCCTTACTGTTGCGACCCATGTCTCTTAGGCAGACCTGGTAGCCACAGCCTTTAGTAGTTTTGAGGCAGCCGAGAACGGGGACTAGTTTAGTATTCTGGGTGTCTACTTGCTTTAGGTTATGCACACATTTCTTCTTCTAATAATGTACCCGTCTCCAAACAACATACTTAGCAATCTCGACCCTTCCCCGAGACCCTCATCTGTATTGAGATACACTTCTCTCTGAACAGTAGTATGTGTTTCCCTGTTCCTAATAGGAACCACATTTATACTGTTTCTGTTCAACTATGTGTCCAATGTAGTTTGGGGTACAAAAAATAAAATAAAAAAGCCAGTCTGTGCTGAACTGATTTGAGGTACATGCCCAGTAGAACAAAGCTGTGTCGTGTCCTCAACCAAACTTTTAGGGAGAATCTCCTACTGAGGAGGGTCTATGCATAATTGAGCATGCACCTGATTAAAATCAGATGCAATATGGGAAGGAACGTGTACAGTAGATAAATGATTATATAACCTATCAATCAAAGTAGGGAGCCACCTAAGCTACATCCTGTAGCAGCCAAACTCATTCTCTTGACTCTCATAAAAGAAAGAACCAAAGAGTAATGGGTATAAACGGAGGCTTCTCTGTCACAGTTGCTTTTAAATAATCACACAGAGACTTCTATTGATTATAAATGTTTGACTGTTAACTCCAGGCTTATAACTAACTAGTTCTTATACTTAAATTAACCCATTTCTATTAATCTGCTTATTGCAGCATGGTCGTGGCTTTACCAGTCCCCTGGCATCTTACTTCTTAGGCAGATGGCTCGCATCTCTATCAGTTCTGCCCCTCTTAGTCCAAGTCGTTAGTTTGATTGTTCCACCTAATCTTATCCTGCCTTGCCATAGGCCAGACAACTTTCATTATTAAACAATGGGAGTAATCCATATTCACAGCATAAAGAGAATCATTTCACAGCATCTCCCCACCCCTGCCTATTCAAAAGAAAGGTTTTAACCTTCACATAGTAAAATTACATATAACAAAACAATTATCAAGTAAGAACTACAGTTGCAGTATCTAGTCTACTTGTACCTGACAGACTTAGAGAAAAGATTTAATTATATATTATATCTTAGTGAATTTAAAGCTTTATATCTTTAATTGTATCTATAATTAAGAAAAACTATAACTATAGTAGTTATCTAGTGTTCAACTCCATCAAAGACCCCAGAAGGGTGAAATGCTACCTACAACAGAGACATTTTGCTGCCTAGACAGCCACCCAAAGTTCCTCTGTAATGTTGAAACATCCATCTTTGGCCCATAGGCCTATCACATATATAGACTTTCCTGTGAAGCACAGAATTTTGAAGGACTGTCCTACCTTGTCTTGGCAAAATTTGGCAATTGCCCTTTTTGCATCCTGTTGCTCCAGTTTGGGCAGTAATTGTCAGAAATTGAGGCAAGGGCAGTTTCTTTGCCCACATAGATAATTTTGCCATAAAGAAAATAAAGTCCCTGTAGAGTTTCATTGATGTCCATCATCTTTTCTGGAGATTGTTGGTGCTGCCAGGAGCAGATGTGTCTCACTGTCAAGAAAAGTGTAAGTTTTTAAACATATCAACTACCGTATTCTGTAGGTCTTTGAAATGTTTGAGGGCCATTTTTCTATTTGAAATATATCTCTGTATGACCTTGAAAACATATCTAAAATGACTATAAGTTTGACTATTATAGATAACTAACTGTATTTTTGTAAATCTATATTTCTTAGTTATACATTGCGTTTTTAATTGATCTGTATAAACACAATACCTAAAACAAGAGTAAAAATATACATACAGTATAATAAAATTAACTTTAAATTTGTATCAATAAACTAAAATCCATACCAATGTAAAATATTTTGAGATTAACAATTATTTTTTGGATTAAAGTAGATTCAATAATATACTCTTTTATCCTATTATTTCTATATCACATGTTGCCTAGACAGCAACCTGGGGCCCTTGAATACTCTCACTCATATAGGACAATCAGTAGACATGTGTCCCTCTCTAATCTCTACTATCATTCACTCTGAATACAGTTTCTTGGTACTTTTACAAATCTGTATGAGCCCCTTTCAATTCTTTGAATAAGAGATTAAGAATCTGGAATTCAGATCCCTATCACCAGTAACAGTGGGGATCAGGTTATGGGAAACACATCAGAAATCATAGGCCTTCCTGAAATAGCTTTGCAGCCATCTCTGCCGGATCAACTAGCATCCATACTTGAAAAAGGGAGGAGAAATCTGAGACACAGGGGAAAATGGCATCCATAAGGTCCCATGACCACATGGTTTTGGCTCCCAGGCCTGCTGGTTCCAAACTCTTTCCACCATGCTTAGGAAGGCAGAGTGATTGACAGGACCATCTTAAATCCCTTAGAGACATCTCGTTCTGCTTAGGTGAGGGATAACAGCGAGAGAGAAGCCATTTTCTGGGACTTTGTCCATTAACAGCTGAACTGGGGCTGCTAGTAACCCATAGAAGACCACTGGCTCCTAATCTTATAGTCGGAGAAAATAACATTAGAGCTACATAGATTTTTTGCTATGGAGATAGTAGTCATGCATGCTTCCTAGTATAGTTCTTACACTAATAAGGGTGTATTTAAGATTTTGTTTTTATATTATGTGTGTGAACATTTGCCTGCATTATGTATGTGCATAATTGTGTTGAATTCCTGAAGAGTGCCCAGTACAGTAAGTTCTTGCAACATGCCTACTGGGAGAGCAGCCTGCCATGGCAGTTTTTGAATGACTTATTTTAGCTCATCTCTCCCCTGGCTGTATTTTTCCTTAGACTTTTATTATTGCTGATATTATATTTTATACCCATGAATTAACCCATTTTCTGAATTCCCTGTTAAAATCCAGGTCTGTGAGGGCAAGGCCTTTTCAGTTTTTCCAGTTCCCATGCTCACAAAGCTTACAACGCTGACTGCATTCAGGCAAAGCAATTTTGGTCTTGTTTTAGCAACTTGATTATGATATGTAGGATGTCAAGTTTTCATTGTGTTTCTTCTCTATGGGATTTGATGAATTTCTTGTTTCTGAAAATTGGTATCTTTACTGCTTTTTAAACATTTCTAATCATTATCTCTTCAACTGCTTTTTTCTGCCCTCTTCTCTATCATCGGCTAAGATTCCAACTCACTTTGCTACTCTTTTAACAATTGTTTTTACTGTGTTCTGTTCTCTTTTTTTTCTAATATTCTTTTTTCTGTTATTAGATTAGGAAATTTCCCGCTAGTCTCCTTTCTAGTCTGCTAGTTCTCCTTCAGTCACTTCCAGTCTGCTATGAAGACCACCTAGTCAATTTTCAGGTCTTAGAATTGGTTTTGAATTAATTCTAGATTTTTTTTTATTTGGTTTTCCTTTGTGGAAATTGTTTCTCTGTTGATCTTTTTTTCAGTCTATTGTTGGGGTTGGTCATCTGTTTGGGTCTTTGTTTTTCATTATAAGCATACCTTGTGGCCATCAGCATAGTTAGAATACCTGCTAAAGGTATTTTCCTCAGGGCTTGGAATATAGCACAAAAGAACAACACTTGCCTAGCATGTAGGCATGTAGGCTGAACCTACAGCCTCCAATCTCTCTCTCTCTCTCTCTCTCTCTCTCTCTCTCTCTCTCTCTCACACACACACACACACACACACACACACACACACACTTTTCTCATACTTTCAACATCTGGTTCATCTCAAATTCAGTTTCCACTGATGGCTTTTCTCTTAGTTCAACTGATATGCAATAGAAATTCTAGATTCAGTTATGTTCCCCTTAATAATACTGTTTTTTTTTTCCTTTAAAGAACAATCACTTGCAAGGACTCAAATCTCAGAGGTTGTCTGCTCTGTGCTGTGTGGAGTAGCAGCTAAAAGCCAAGTTCTGTCTTTTTTTTTTCCTTTGCCAAGTTTTTTGGTGTCTGCCTTGCACATGCATAGTTCAGAAATCAAAGAACTGGACTGTTCTTTTTTATCGTTGATGTTATAATTGTAGGTTGTTGTTTGATTTTGAGCCATGCTAAAATTTAACTTTTTTTTTGAATTTATGTAACATATTTAGAGCTGCCCTTCTGTGGCACTCTCCTAGAGCATACTTCTTCCACTTCCTGGTTACAGTGCCCACCCTGAAGCCTCTGTTCTGATTCTTCAAGTCAGAAAATCAAAGGGTCTTCTAGATGTGCGCTAGCCACTCAGGCAGTGTTGCTAGCTAAGTCCTGCCATTGGCAGGTTAGTTTTATGTCAACTTGACACAAGCTAGTTAGATGAGAAGAGGAAACATCAACCGAGAAAATGCCTCTGTAAGATAGAGCTACAGGCCAGCCTAAAGGGGATTTTCTTAATTAGTGATTGATACAAAAGGACCCAGACCATTGTGTTTAGAGCCACCTCTGAGCTGGTGGTCCTGGGTACTCTAAGAAAGGAGGTTGAGCAAGCCATGTGGAGCAAGCCAGTTAGTTAGCAGCACCCCTTCACAGCCTCTGCATCAGCTCCTGCCTCCAGCTTCCTGCCCCGTTTGAGTTCCTGCCCTGACTTCCTTAGATGATGAACAGTGATGGGGAAGCATAAGCCAAATAAACCATTTCCTCTCTGAGTTGCCCTTGGTCATGGAGTTTCACTCTACTAAGACAGCAGGGGTGGGGAAAAGGCATCAAAATGGAAAAAATTTGGACTGAAAGGATAGCACAGCAGGCAAGTGCTTGCCAAGCCTCACAACCTAAGTTCAGTTTCTGGAAGGCATGGTGGAGGGAGAGAACTGATTTTCAAAAGTTGTCCTCTGACCTTAGCACGTGAGTTGTGTCATTCATACATACACATGACACACAATAACAACAACAATGACATGTAAAGCCAGAGCAGGGAAGACAGCTCAGGAGGTAAAAAAAAAAAGCTTCAGAACCTAAGTTTGATTCTCAGGAACCCACCAATAAGTAAGTAAATAAGTAAATGCCACAACCAGGCATAGTAGCAAAAATCTATAATCCCAGGGAGTCCCAGGGAGGCAGAGACAGGCAAGGTCCCTGGGCTCATCAGCCAGCCATATCTAGTTGGTGATCTCCAAGCCAGTGAGAGACTCTGTCTCAAAACACAAGCTGGAAGATTCCTCAGCCGTGATACCCAACCTGAGGTTGTCCTCTGGCATGCATACAGCTCACACACAGACAGACAGGTCAGACAGACAGATAAACAGAGAGAGAGAGAGAGAGAAAGACAGAGAGAGAGAGAGAGAACCAAAACAGAAATCTCATTCTATTCCTTTAGTGTCCTAAATTAGTCACCTCTGTCTTAGAGCAGGAGTGTGATTCTTGGGGGTGGAGCTATAGGGCTGTGGTACCCTATGACAGAGCAGGGGTTTCCCCTTTTGTGTTGACGTGCCCACAAGGCACCTACCTACCATTTGATTCTGGAACCTCTGCTCCCACTGGCTTGCTGACTCCCAGTATTCCCCCTTCACAGATAAGAAGGTTGATGCCAGGGAACAGCGTATCCCCCAGTGTGGTGTAGAGCTGAAACACCTTTGACCCCACCTCACCGCATACTATATGGACCAGTGAGCAGACTCCAAAAAAAAAACTGTCACACATTCAGATGTGCGCGCGCGCGCACACACACACACACACACACACACACACACACTGCCATGGCACTGCTGTGATTCAACAAGTCTCCTACCTTCTCTCTTGCACCCCCTAGAGTTTACTTGTAATGAAACAGCCAGGAGCATCCTAAAACAGCCATTTAACAGGCTCATGTGGAACCTGTTAACTGGCTCAGAAGCTTCATGCCTAGTGAAAGTCCCCAGAAAGGGGAGCAAGGCTCTTCATGATCTCCTTCCCTGCCCAGACCTCATCTCCTGCTACTTCCCCCTAGTCTGTGAACTTGTAAAGTTGGTCCTGCCTAAGAGCCCTTCTCTCAGTCCCACTCAGTCAGGACGCTGGTTTTCTCAGATCTACCCTGCAAAAGAGCAGGGACTGCCGACCCCACACTCGGCCCCTCAGCCTGCCCTGTTGTCTAACAGATCCCGTAGCATGGCCTGATAGGCTGTGTATTCACTCCGAACTTCCATCACCTGCCCTCCGCGGATTGGAAAGACCTCCCATTGTTCTGGTCGCTGCTCTGTAGCTACAGTCTCCATGGTGCCGGGGATATGGCAGACCCCAGAGAAAATCTACTTAATAAACAGTTACCTGAATCAATATTTAATTAATAATTTGGTCTTAGAATGATTTAAGGAATGTTCAAAAATACAGATTTCTTTTTAAGTCCCTGGTTCTTGGCTCCTGGATTCTTAACAACCTAGTGAGACTAAATCCCCCCAATTCTAGCCTTTTTGGGTTCCAGGTTCTTCATCTGTAAAATAGAGAAAATTCTTCACAGCCCTGAGGGCTGTGGCTCAAAGTACTTAAGAAGGCTTTTATGTAAATATGCTTAGTGCCCTATCAAGCATACTGAAGATACCTGGTGATTGGAAATCTATTTATAAATAAAAGATAAGCTTTAGGATTACACAAGGAAATGTAAGAATGGGGATGTCCAG